CCCATAGCAACACCATCCTGTTGTATATAATTTTCGTTGTAAAAGCGAAATGGTACATTTAATGCAGCCAACTCCAATAATTTCTTGAACTGAGACCGATCAAAAGGGCAGTTGGCAGGTATTTTTTCATTTTTTTTACAGAGAAGATATCATGCTGTATCGATTGTCTCACTGACAGGAATATTTGTGTATAACGATTCAATGTCAAAACTAACCATGATCTCATTCTTACTGGTTTCTAGAGAAACGATTTTCTTCATAAGTTCGAAACTATCTTTGATAAATGATTTTCCAATTCACTAATTATTCAAATAATAAAATGTTTTTGAAATCAATCGGAGTCATTGCACATAACAGTAATATCATCGGCGAATATTACATCTAAAATATGTACTTCATCCAATCAATCGTTCAGTAAATAGGAACAAAATCACCTGAGCGATAAGCTACTTTCACTTGAATAATTCTAGCTTTCTACAACACTTTTCTCATTACAAAATTCAACGATATTGGAGATCAGAAGTCACTCTGGTCGATTTAATTGAAAAACTATCCGTTATTACTATTTGAGGCGTTGTATCTTGATAGAGAAGTTTCATCATGCCACTTTTCATACGTTCTGTAAATACGTCACAAGAGATTTTTACTAGTGATAGCTGCCTTTCAACAAATTGACAATCACTTTCAAACAAATTTTATTTCTATTCTTCCATGACAACCTGCAAGCTGCCATTCCTTATTCAAGCAACCAATTCAGCAAGACTATGTCAATAAAAGAAGGTAGGAGTTATTGATTTCTCATAGAAATAAAGTTACTGCTACACGTAATATACCGTACCACTTAGCGACGACAGTCAAACACGTAAAATTATCTAGCAATATGTAGAGAAATAATTGAGAACGTTGGTATTTGTTAAAAATATATGACCATACGAAACCGGCTGCTTGTTTTATAAAACAAAATTTGTGTTTTTAGGCATAGTGTATGCCGATCATTCTGTCTATGTGAGAAGGTATTTTTGATAAGAATTCTGCAGACATCGGCCGCTCCTCAAAATGTTTTAATTTCGATGTAGATCGATAGAGAATTCAGTTTTATGTAGTTTTTGGTAGTTTTCGGAGCTTCAAAATGTATTTTGTTGCAAAAATAAATTATAATAAATTACCAACGTTTTCGATGCTTGATTGCCATTAATACTGTGCGTAAATTAATGCTTGAACATAAAAACATAAAAATAACTTATTTTTTTATCAAAAAAATACTTCGGATCTAAGATGTTAGGGCTATCCGTCACGGTATTTCGCTTTTTTCTCTGCCATCCAAGGCTTAATGGCAAACCATTCTTAGTATAATGAATAGTCCGTGAAGACAGCTACAAGAATATGTATAAATAATTGATTCGACTGGCTAGAATCATTGTAAAACCTCCAGCATAAGCTCAACAGCACTTTAATAATTTGTATTTTTTGCTCTTCTTTTGCTTTTTTCGTCACAAAAAAGCCTTTAACCACAAACCATTCCTAATGTAATGGATAGCCCATGGAAAGAGCTACAAGAATATGTATAAATAATTAAATTAAACGTTTAAGATCATGGTGAAATCATGACGATAAGTTCAACATCATTCAAAGTCAGTATTAATTTGGAAATAAATGCAAATTTTCACCATCAAGAATCGTTTTCAAAGCAAAATAAAGATGATATTCGTAATCAGCGCTAAAAACTGAGTCGAATGATGTGCTATTCATGCTTTTAGCAAAACTTTTCCTTCTCCGTCAATAATCGTCTATGGCGACTTTTTAGGGGATTTTTTAGTTTTTTCTTCATGAGGTGGCCCTCATCTGAATTTTTGACAAAGAAAGAAAAGTTATGCCAAAAGCATGAATACCACATCATTTGACTCAGTTTTTACCGCTTCAAGCATTTCTTCCCACATATTCTCGATCAGCTCGTCAAGCTCTATGGATTGGTATATATGAGAAAAAGTTCCATTCGCATTTTCTATCGAAAATAAAGTGTTAATGGCAATCCAGCATCGAAAACGTTGGTAATTTATTATAATTTATTTTTGCAACGAAATACATTTTGAAGCTCCGAAAACTACAAAAAGCTACATAAAACTGAATTCTCTATCGATCTACATCGAAATTAAAACATTTTGAGGAGCGGTCGATTTCTACAGGATTTTGGACCCCGTCCTTTAATTGCTCATAACCATAACTGACAGATAGCGGATGAAAGATTTCTTTTGAAGAATGAACGTATGACGAATATTTGCAGGTTAAAGCAATAAAAAAATGCGATGGGTCGATTTTGCGTCTTATGTGAATTCGTCCTTTTATCATTCAAAAGATGCTAATTCTGAGTTGATTTCAAATCCATATATGTCCTCAACATCTATCTGAATTCTTGAAAACATTAAAAAATGTTTTTTATTAAAAAAATGAGTTTAATATCAATTTTATTCGTTTAAGTGATTAAGGAAATCTTTGAACTGTAAGGTATTCAAATCCTATACATCACTCTCTGTCTTTGTCTGCACGTGGTAAAAAAAAATTCCACTTCATTTTTCTTGTAATTGAGTCCTTGATTTCTGTTCTTAAACAAAAATTTTCAATTTTCTTGTTCTTTTATTGGTAAATATTGAGTCGCGAAAAAATTGCATACATTATTCGCGTAAAGGTTTGCAAATATGTTTAACGGTTAAAATTTTCAAAAAAATATTTTGTTTTTACGAGTCGTTGTCTTTGTTGAATATTAAACAACTTTTTGGTGTTTTATTCTGTTTGATGAAGAAATAATTGTATATAAATTTCTTTAATGATTTACAAATATCATTAAATTTCAAAATTTTTTTATTAATATGTAGTAGATATATCCACATCTAATAATCTCAACTTATTTTTATTTTTTTTAGAAACATTCCGTTTATTTAAAAGTTTTTTTATGATCAATATCTATTTATATCTGATCGATAACGAATAAAAAGCAGAAAAATAGAAAAATTTAACAAGAAATGTTACGTGTAAGCAAGTATAATTAACAGTTCAAATATTAAGAACATTTTCACTATTGATGCATACAACGAACAATAAAAAAGTAAGACTAGATTCAACAATTTACTTAAAAAAAAATATTTACAAAAAAAAAACTTAAAAAAACTGACTATTTCCCGGATTAAGTAGCACTGTTTCACAAGAGAAAAAGAAAAGTAGAAATCATAATAATTCGGAAAGACTTCTCTTGTTCTTTCTTCAGACGGAGTTTCACGTTTAACGGTGGGAACTCATTTATAGTTACAATATCATCTTAGACGGTGCATAGGTAATAATATTCTCTTAACAATTGAAGATAGACAGTAAAGAATCGATGTTTGTATCCATCTGTCCATCTGAGAATACTCTCTTTAAAATTGTTGATCTGTATATCAAAGCTTTCTAAAATAATACTGCACCTTGATTACCTTTTAATTACAAAAACGGCCAAGACTTGAAAGCTAGAACTGATCCTTACTATGCGCACAATCCTCGAATCTATCTCTCTGTAACTTTTCTCTTAACGAGCATCAATTCAAGACTTGGACTTTTTTTGTCATTAGAAAATGCCTGTAAAACAAATTCAGTTATCTAGATCAAAATCATTGACCTTGATGAAGTTTAACTCGATTTTTGATGAAAGAATTAAATCATATGATCAGAATTATTGGATGTTTAACAGGAAAATTGTTAATAGATGGATAAACCATAAAAACTAAAGTTTCCATCTTTTAGTCTATAAGACGGTGAGCGTTTTTACTGATGCTATGGATGTTGTATTAGACATTTTTCTGTCATATTGTTTCATTCTTTCATTCCAATATGAAATATTACGTTTAATATTATTCGTATTTTCAATAACTAGACTATCAGCAGTACCATATGATGGATTATCTGATTTTGTATCGTATCCTAATTGCTTTAACATTGGTGCTAATGTATCAATCTCATTCTTTACATTATCTGGTACATGTCCCACCCATCGTGTTAATGCTTCTAAATTAATTGGTTTAATAACTTGATCACTTGAATGTTCAGTTTTTGATAATGATATTTTTTTATCAATTAATTCATCATGATGTAACACACTATCAACCCATGGAATATTTAAAAATTTGAGAATTTTTTCAATTGTAACTCGAGGATGTAAAACTAATTGTTCATAATAAACAAATAAACAATTACTATCTCCTATTTTTGTGCATTCTTTAACCATAACGTCAATACCTTGATTCCAAGATTTCAAATTTTGTTTATAATCTGTTAGACTAAATCCAGTTATAGTCACTTTTCTCGTCATAACACTATGAATAACTGCTCGTCCATCTCGAATTAATAATAAAAATTTTGAATTTGGAAATATTGTTGTAACATAAACAGCATGTTTTAGAACAAATGGATCTTTATCACAAAGAATATCGGCATCTGGTCCTCCATGTCGAACAAGAATTTCATAGACAAATGCACGTACAGCTGAATCAAGTATATTTTCACTTATACCACCAGCAATTAATCTATTCCATTCAACCGTTTGTTTTTTCCATGCACTTCTCATACTAAGAATTCTTGGTACAACACGTGTTTCTTCACCACATCGAACTAATGGATGTGAATCTAGAATAGCACGCATCAGTGTTGTACCCGATCTTGGCATTCCGCCAATAAATATAATTGGTCTCGAATAATTATTACATTCTGTTTGTCTAATTAAAATATTTGATGGTACTGTAGAATCTTTAATACTATTTAATAGATACGATAGAACAACAACAATAATTAATGTTACCACAAGAGTAAAACATAAACAACGATTACACGTACGCATTCTGAAGAAACGATAAAATAAACATGACCATAGTGTCATTCGGTTTTTACAACATAAACAGCTAAAAGAACAGAAAAAAATATTAAAAAATGTAGGAGAAAGAGAAAAGTGAAACGTGAGAATTTAGTATAAATTTTGCATTCCTATGGATTTTAATTTACAAAATACGAAAAAAAAATAAGAGTATGGTATTCAAGTATGATAGTGTGCATGTTATTTAAACCTATAGCCGTCGAATAAATCATCTTTTATTAATCGAGCATGCATCGTTGCCAAGACTAAAATCATTGGCTATGTTCTCTAATATTTGCTGATAAAAGCGACATTGATACATTTTTTGAGGCCAATAAACAAATTATTTATACTATATTATTTAGCATCAAATAACTAGTTTTAGTAAATTAGTCATAAAGAAGAGCGAAATATTTCAGCTTTATTGTCAGCGCGAGTCGAGGAAAGCGTAGAGAACATTTTTGATAGAAATAGATAGACAGACTTCTAGCTTAACGAAATAATTTTTCTCCTATAATGAAAATGTCATTAACAGATCACCTAAAAATATCTTCTACTATATAAACGAATGAAACTTACCAAAAATGTGCAAAGCAACGATTCTACTGAGGTAGTTTCTGAGATTGTTAATTAGATTAAACACTATGTGAGGCTGGTGCAAGCAAAATACGCGGATAACGAATCTGAATAAGTATATGTGTTATGAAACACTTTTTAAAGCAAATTTATATTTAAACAAAGAAATTGATAATAACAATAACAATTTTGTTTCAAAAAAGTTGAATATTAAACAATAACTAACTAATGTACACGAACAACGAAGAAATTTATGTCAAAAATATTTGCCACGTTGAAATCGACTACGATTATTATTCTGATAATAACTCTGTCCTCTGCCTCTTCCTCCACGATTAAAATTTGATCCTCGATATTGATGTTGAAATGTTTGTTGCTGTTGTTGTTGTTGCTGTTGTTGTGGTTGATTTGATTCGAATTCTTCTTCTTCGTCAGGTGCAAATGCAAATGCAGATTCGTATGAACGTTTCACTGCAGGCTGAGACTCTTGATCATTTTTACTACCAGAAACTGTATGAAAATTTGTTGTTGAGGTTATACCATAAGAAGATGGCCCATCTTGTGGTGATGGTGTGTGAAAAGTTGCTGCAGAAGTAGAATTGTTACTCCTGATGGGTGTTGTGCTACAAAAACGATAGTAGGTAAGTATCATGATGACAAAATAAATCAAAGAAAGACATATTGTCTAAACCCAAATACATACTCATTTTGTTGTTGATTAAAATAATTACTTCGGCCTTGAAAACTTCCGCCGCGATTCGATGAATATCGACTATAACGACTACCACCATTATCACGTCCTCGATGATACGATGAACTATTACTATTATTAAAATAACTACTCTGATTTGGTGGTGGCTGATAATTCTGAAATTTTAGAGTTTGTGTCGCTGTTGAATCGTCACTAAAAAGAATTTATCAGACTTGATTCGCAGCAAGCAATTTCGTTATCAATAAGGATTGTCATATTGCGAAGAAAAAGACGTTTTTTATTTTTCTGCTTGAAATTTTCGTTTTTCTTGAACAAAGTTTTTAACTTGATGTGTAGGCTTCAAGCTTATTTTTATGCTACTTAGCTTTTTACCTATTAGGTACTTTTTCGCAGAGGACATGTTCGTATACTTGATCGGATAGGAGACGTATCAAATAAAGTAATTGTTCAATGTCTTGTGGTCGATTTAAAGCTTCATTTGGATCTTTCGTACATCGGATAATTAAAGCTTCGATAGCTGGACGTAGTGACACAATTTTTGATGCTAACGATTCATTCATGTTCAATACAATCCTAACAACAAAACACCACATTAATATAGATCAAATAACAAAGATTAGCAAGAGTTGAATGTTTAATTGAATGTTTTTGGAGTTTTTCTGAACTTCCATTTCACATTTTGCTTTATTTCACTTTATATTTCTATCTCTTTCTAGTATGAAACTTACCAATTATCTAAACAAATCATATCTGATTCAATACTTTCAATTTGTTCTGATGCAAAAAGCAACAGTTGTAATGGTGTTGACATACTCATTTGTTTAGCTGATACTGCACGTGTTTTGATCTACAAAAAAGCAATAAGTATGACTAAAATTGTGTTATTCAATTTGAATACATTATAACATTTATACACATACTTTTTCTGTAAATACAAAAAACGGTGAGGGAAATACTGGAATTTCTCGACCACAGTTAACAGAATTTTTATGAATCAGTGCCTCTTTGCCTTCGGTGGTTAATAATTTTCGCCTTGATACATGATAAGCAACATTTGGATACAAAGCATAACACAATAAGGATATCACCTTAAATTTAAACAATTTTACATTGTTTTTGCGAGAAGAACATTATTAACACAAACTTACAATATCTAACTTAGTATCTGGTCGATTAACATCAAACCATTGTTGTTGAACACAATCTTCGGGAAAACCAGACATTACCATTATATCACGTAATTGATTCTTGAAAAGAAATAATGACAACAAATAGTGAAAGATTGCGAATCTTTTAGAAAAATTCATTCAGGCGAATGTTTAAGACAAGATTGTATTCACCAATATCGAAAAGACTCAACCTTCTAAACTTTTAACAATTTTTCTTCTACTAATTCAGGAGAAAATTTTTATTTGTGATTTTTGGCATGCTTTTTGACCTTTTATCGTAATAAAAAAATCAGATTAGTAAAATCATATCAGAACATTTTCATTTCCGTCACTCATATATCAGTCTCATTCTTTATATTATCTGGTACATGTCCCACCCATCGTGTTAATGCTTCTAAATTAATTGGTTTAATAACTTGATCACTTGAATGTTCAGTTTTTGATAATGATATTTTTTTATCAATTAATTCATCATGATGTAACACACTATCAACCCATGGAATATTTAAAAATTTGAGAATTTTTTCAATTGTAACTCGAGGATGTTACAATACTATACTACGTCCAGAAACAAAAACATTTTGGTCCTTTCTTTATTAGAAATCTGAGCTATATTTACTGAGCTTGAAAGCGAGATTTCATGCTTCAAACAATAAAAATAAAGAGCTACTATTTTTTACCCAGTGCTCTTATCGTCAGTATGGAGAAAGGCATTAGTTTTAGTCTAATATATGGTCACTTCTAAAAACATATGTACGTACTCTTGCTTCAAATGTCATTCTCATTATTGATGCGTTTAAACATTTTCTATCACAAAATTCTAATTCTGCTCGCTCACCACCACGCATTCTAAACTCAACAACAATATAAGACTGTTATTATACTTCTTTAGCTTCTCTCTACATACTTTTCTTTTTCCCATTGTTGAAATCCATTTAATAATGCTACATGATCGCTATAACGTTGTCCAGCTAACGATTTATGCATCCCACGAATATGTTTTCCATCATGCAGAAACGGTTCAGGAAAACTTGTACATGACGCAATTGTACATGCAGCATCTCCAACACTAAATTAGACGACGTACAATTATTACACGTATATACTAAATGGAAGAACTTACAAGAAAATGCATCCTAAAATAATCATTTTTCCCATTTTTGGTTCAATAGGCAAGCGTGCTAAGATTTTCCCTAGTGGTGTTAATTCATCATTTTCATCAATAGCTTGCATATCTAAAATTAGAAAAAGAAAACAAATAAACAAAGGTAGCATAAATGAAGATAATGAAACAACACTATAATAAATAACCACCGTATTGTATGTACAAAGTTCACAATGAAAATGCTGAAGATACTAGTCTACAGCACAGTCCTTCCTTGTATTATTCAGCTGTTAACTTCGTCGATAGACTCCTCTTCTCAAAACTCACTTTTTAATGCAACTTCTGCTTCTGCCACTGCGTCCATTGGCGGTTGTTCGATTGCTTTCATCAAAAAGTCTTTAATACCACCAAGATGTAACAGTTTAATAGCCAAAGCTAGTTCATGTAACGGTGTTCGAAATATTTCTGGTGTCAAATAATTTTCTAATTTTTTATAACGCGCTTTTGAACATAGATAAAAACAGCAACCTGAACGAACACGCCCAGCTCGACCTTTCCGCTGAGTCAAATTAGTTTTTGATGCCCAAACCGTGACATAATGAGTCATATTATTATGAGATGTAAATAATTTTTGTTTGACCTAAAACGAAAGATGAAACGTAAGAGTGTATAAACACTTTGCACAGAGATGCAGAATATATCCGTTTTCTCAGATCCATCGGGGAAAAGTCTGAATTCTTGAAAGTTATACATTTTTACGAGTAGATTCTACATTTCTGGCTTTCCATGTAGATCAAATACTTACTTTACATGAATCGATCACATAGACGACATCATCAATGGTAACACTTGTTTCAGCGATATTTGTGCTTAAAATAATTTTTTTGACACCTTGTGGAACGGATTCAAAAACACGATGTTGTTCTTCGCGAGGTAATTGTGAATGTAACGGCAGTATACGAAAGGCCGATGAGCCAAATCTTGGATGTTGTTGAAAATATTTTAATAATGCTGTGATCAAATTCCATCCAGGTAGAAAAATAAGAACAGCACCATTATCACCCAAACTACTGATATATGATAGTAACGACTAAAACGGAAACACAAAATCAGACACTGCGCGTTCGACTACGTTAATTATAAACAATTTCCTCTAGGTATATAGGGCGAGTTTTTAACATTAAAAAAGCCTACCTCTATCAGCTCAAAACACAATGATTTTTCGCTCAATTGTTTCAAAGCATTATGAGTTGCTGGCGCATATTCATTACCACAAATAGCATTACAGTTCGTTTCCTAGAACCAAAGAAGTCATCATGATACTATTTTTCATTAAAACTTTTCTAGCTAACCACTCCATCGTCATCTTGAGAGTCTTCGTAGCCGATATCATCATCATCATCTTGCATATTTTTATTTCGATTTTTTTCTTTTTTTGATAATAAATGTGGTTGAAAATTGAGTAATTGGATGATATCTTCGAGATAATATTCTTTAACATCAAACGTTTGACCTTGAATGTCAATAACTGAACAATTGTAAAAATATTCACGAAATAATGTGATGTCGATTGTTGCTGAAAAGAAAATATGATAGATCGTTCAGTGCACCAATGAAGATATAAATACAGCATACCTGACATAAGAACTACTTTTAACAATGGATATGCTTTTAACATATCACGAAGAACAACTAATAAGAAATCTGTATTTATATCGCGTTCATCTAGAATATAAAAATCCACACATAATGAAAAATGCTACGAACAATCATTTAGTTAAAAGAAATTATTGGTTGAAGACAACTTCATGATACTGATAGATTCAACATCATGATGGTTCATAATCAGTAATAGAACAGAATGACTGATAAATAGACATTTAATTAGAGAATTTTATGTTACTTACGTATTTCATCAACAATGACATGTGATATTCCTCTTAAGCCATTTTCTAATTTGCGTAGCAAAACTCCAACTGTACAAAATAATAATGATCCATATGGACGAGGTAAGACGGATTCAAAACGAACACTATAGCCAGCTGATAGACCCAAATCTTCGCAACGTTCTAAAAACAGACGAAATAATTTTTGTTATCAACTTGAAAAGAGACCATTTGAAAAAGTAAATGATTTTCATTTGGTTCCTTACCCCAACATACACGTTCAGCAATTGATATAGCTGAAATTCTTCGTGGTTGTGTACAAACAATATTACAATGAGCACCGGAATTATTTTCAATGGCATGATCAAGAATATATTGCGGAATCTAAATGACAAAAGACAACAAAAGGTATAGTTATATAGTTCGGAAGATTATTCTATTTTTTATAATTACTTGTGTTGTCTTGCCGCAACCGGTGGCACCTCTAACAAGAATAACATTATTTCGTTCGATTTGTTTTAATAATTCCTCTTGATAATGATAAACAGGTAATTTTTGACGTTGTTCTTTACGTTGCAAATATTCATGATCTTGGAATTTAAACGATTGGACACGCGATAAATCTTCACAAATTGACTCCATTGTAGCCGTGGCCAAGGGACCTAACAGAAAGACATATTTTTAATTATTAAGATACAATGATTTGATGTCTCATAACTGACCTTCATCGATATTACTTGCTAAAAAGGAAAAAAAATACAGATTACATAGACGAAGAATAAAACTTTTCCAAAGATATAATTACCGGTCCATGGATGCCAATTCGGTAGAGCTGGTGTCCATTGTATAATTGCTGCCTCACGTCGATCTGACGGTGGAAAACGCTCAAGAATTTGATTTGTTATCAATGATACGGGATATTGTGAGGTTGGACCACTGAGCTACAAGAAATCAATGACATAAAACGATGTTTCTTTTAAATATCAAACAAGCTGCCCTGTCTTACTTGTACATATTTGATATTAAATGATTCAATAACACGATCTAATTGTTCAACAATTTCCTGGCTGACATCAACTTTAAACGGTGTTGTCTACAAACAAAACAATAACATTTAATCATCCTCCGTTCTACGATTAAAACGAATTTTTGCTTTTAACTAGCCTACAATAATATACCTTCTCAATTTGTTTTTTCTTTTTTTCTCCTGTATATGGTTCAATCAGTCCCAAATGATACATTTGTCGTACGAGTGATTGTGCAACACTTTTTGATGCAATCATTTTTGTTGATCCATTTTCTCGTGCATGAATTGCTAAACATATGAAAGTAAAATATCGAAATATATTTTATTAGAATATAATTCGAAAAACTTACTTAAATTCCGTTCACGGATATAAACAGACATTTCAGCAAAAAATGTTCTAAAAAAATCAATGACAAAATAGAGAGGACAAGAAGCGATAGTATTCTATGCATACCATGGCTTCCATGATGAGATTCATATACAGCAAAAACAAGAAAACATAGTACAATGGGTCTAAAACGACAAATGCTCTTGAAATAATCAATCAAATAAGCTTAATTAAGTATTCTGAATCTAGATTCTTAAGACTATCGATTTCTTGTATATCATTAAAATTTTCAAACAGTTGAAGTTTAAACGCTAGTTAGAAATTTCCCAGCTGTATTTTCCACATCGATCTGACCAATAATTAGTAGATTACAAGCTCTATTGATTGACTGATCTGTTTCAAGAGCATTCGCCTATATAATCTTCTTGTACTTTTCGCATCAACAAACAAAACAGTTAATGCAAGAAGAACTATATATCAAACTAATAATATCTCAAAAATTACAGTCCGCAATATTCGAGAGAAAAACTATTTACAGTGGAGTTCCGAACTGTTACACATAAATATGTTAGTTTGAATTGATCGATCCATGAGTGTATATTTACCTATTGTTATCTGGACCTGTTGCTGAATATTTATAATCTTGATTTAAATTAGATCTTTGTAAATATTGATGTAACCGTCCTTTACTGTTCTCAATGGTCCAATTTCCGTGAATCGACGCATTTGTGTCGGTTTCTTCTTGCTAGAAAATCACATTAAAACTTGTTGGAAGATAAAATGGAAATCGCAGACTTCATTTTTGTTTACCTCCTCAAGCATTTTTCGCCCAGAACGTATTTGTTCTAGATAATTAGCTGGAGGTCCTCTTGTGTAAGGTAACAAGCTTGGGATTTTATTAGCTAGTAAAAAAGAATACAAATAAAATAAAAGCCAGCAGATATTTACGATGAAAATCGGGTAAACAATTTAACGTTTTGAATTGTTTGCCAGATAATTTCTGATTCTCTTTCTCATACTTGTTGTTGCATTTTGATCTAATAAATGAGGTGCTAAAGCATTTGGTAAAGTTCCGAATTGTTGTGATGTTAAAACTGATGAACTTTTTGATGGCTAAAAACGACAGTGAGAAAAACATTTATTATTTCCAACCAACTTCATTGCAAGAGCACTTACTAAATACTGTTCAAGTTCATTTTGCATCATTTTCCCGTCTCTAACAAGAGATTGGCAAAAATCAATGGCAGCATTTGTTTGTGAATCCTTTTTATTCGTCGAATTTCCTATGGCGGTATATTGAATACCAGCCACAGTTAACTAGGACAAGAGAAGAAAGGTCACTTCGATTCTTATGCTTACAATGTATTTTTATTCGATTCAATATACACACTCAAAACTTACTTCGCATTTGAAACGTATGCGTTGTTTCGTTCCTTGTGTTTGAATATCATAATTTGGAATTTTATTCTGTTTTCCTAACCATGCATACAAAAAGCTTTTAATGTCACCGACAGACATGTCACTATTTAGATCTAAAAAACAAAAAGCAAATCATCTAAACATCAAAAAGTAAATAAACTACATTTGAAGTTGAAAATATCCCAGAGAACAATTTGTCTATGCTTACATTTAGAAAGGGTAAGCTGATCGCCTGGGGCGTTCACGCTGTGGTAGAACTTTCAAGACGAAATTATCGACGATCAGCTCCCATCTGACGAAAAAAAAGACTGAGTTTCCAGTTAGCCGACGCCGTTTTCTCGACCGACTTACATTTCTACGTAAGTGAAGTACAGCAAAAAATAAAGGAAAAGAGAGGTAACCGAGAGATTGGCTAATCTTAGAGAAATCCAGAGAACATTTGCTGTACTTGAGTTCCAAACAATTTCCAGACAGTGCTTTGCTTGTTACATGCAGGTGCAGGATAGGATTTTCATTCATGTAATTCCATTTAAATGTCGGAAAAATTGAAACTATCATGTCGGATTATCACGAGAAAGGACTGTAAAGGAAAGTAAGCGATCAAAATAGCCTAGTTAGGATAAGCGTCCTTCTGGTCAAGGCAGAAGTTAGTCATTTATACACTTCAGACACCGTTTTAATTATGTATGTATAATGATTGGCGGAGAAGAACCATACAGAAAGATCCGTATTTTCTCACAGCAACAAAATATTTTTTAGAACTTTTGGCATTTAAAGTATCTTTGGCAACGATAAGTTGAGACACAAATAATACGGTGATAAAAAAGAACAACAACAATAGTCGAAGTTTCGGGAAATTACACAAAAAACAAGGTTGTTCATCAAGACAGGAATAAAGAGAGGAACGAAGTGTGATATACAGCATAACAAGAATCAAGTTTAAGAAGAACACAGTAAAGAAAAATTCGACGCTTTACCATTGGCAGTTTCAGTCCAAAGATACGATTCAATGCTCTTAGTTTGCTCCGATAAGTCGCAGCATGGATTGTTTATTTCTTATTTATAATTTTTGATCGACTTATTACAATCTCAAAAGTGCCCTTTTTTGCCGTTTCCATTTATCTTCGACTTCGGGTGTATGGAGTCCTTATGAGTCATAAATCTGAAAAATTCACGACAAGTGCACATTTGTGCTCTATCGAATGGCTTATTCGAAAATTTTTTAAAACATATAGTAAAATGAAAAATCGAGCTTTTCTGGACCCACTAATGTAAAAAGTTTTTTGGAACTTTTGGAAGCCAGGATTCGCAAAAACAGCATTCTTTCTTTTCGAGAAAAACATCGAAAATATAGGTAACTCGCGTGTTGTACAAGACGAGCATGGTCAAATGTTACTGACTTGAAGTCGTATATAAATGGGAGGGCCGGAATGAAATGAGGCCCAGATTCAATCACATATCTGAAAACAGCTCTAATAGGTCTTGTTCTAATAGATAAGCTCTAATATTGGCTTCACAATACAACAGATATGAATTCGAACATATTTCACAGAATAAATCGTATTTTAAATTAGTAGTGGTAAATAGAACAGGCAACTTTGATGAAATGTTCTGACGATGTCATATATCAGAATCTCCTCGATCGAACACAAAAAATAGTCATCAGAAAATTGTGACAATTACGATAATACCAATTGAGGGCTGGCATAAACCCGATTCCTTCGAAATTTAAATTATTATAAAGGAATCAAGCTGTAACTATTTGATAGCGTTGTGAGATTTTTGAGATATCTGAAATGAACACCTGCCTACAATTACTTTTTTTACGTTGTACTGTGACTTCAAACTATGTAGATTTTTGGAAATTTTGAGAGTTTTGATTTACACTGTATTCTTGAATTAATTTCCAGTTTACTGAAAATCGACCGAGAAATCGTCGGGGATTTTCTAGTTGATAGAAATTCCTCGACGAATTTCCAGCTTTCTAGAAAATGTTGATTTTCTACTTTATAGAAAAATCGACTTGATTTTGACAAATCATCGTTTTTAGACTGCATTTTTTGACACTTATGAAAATTTTTATAAGTCAGCCAAAATCAAACATTTTGAGGTCGGGTTAGTTTTATCGTAAAGCAAAATACTTTTTCTCTTATATTCAAATAGAGAAAGTTCAATAGCTCCATTTCTATTTGACTTTCGTCGTTTTTTAAGTTACAAAGTAATGGAGATTGAAGTTTTACAGTAATTCCTCTATAGTTTATCAGTTTTAAGATTTACAAAAATATGTTCAGTGCGTTTTTTGTAGAGCAACTCAAAGCGCATCTTTTGAAAAGAACATTGAGATTGAGGAACATAACAAAAAGAAGTTAAAATGAAAATAAAAAGAGGCTCATTTAATCCTACACACGCGATACGTGTTTCATTGTTCGCTTTGTAGTCTTGTTACCAATTTCATACTACGTCATGCAATCACTTTTAGTATGAAACCGCTTTTTGAACTCACTCCTACACTAGTTACTCCTCCTTCCATTTCGACCCTGTTGAGTGCTGATGGACGGATATATTCAACAAAATCTAAAATAAAAAGGAACGAAGGAAAGGATAATACTTCACCTTGCTGCTACCATTGTCGATGTAGGTGCAGTACACAAAAAAAACACCACTAATTTGGATGGCACTGTGGACTCAGATGAACAGTTATTTGAACACACCAATATTATGTTTTGTGTGTTCATTCTTTTTTGCACCGTGAAACAAAAGCACGTGTGATTTTCAGTCAGAATGTTTTTGCTAAAATGATATAGAGATGTAGATTTACTAATATTGTTACAGATATTGTTTTAACATTGTCATTCTTGTTCCTGGTCCAGCGTGTATATTGTATGTTGCCCATTGCAACATCAGTCGTGTTACATCATTTGAAAATTCTGTTGAGCATTTCAAACTAATGTTTAAAAACTGATGAAATTTTTCGGGCGTATCATGTATCAGAAATCTACCGATTAAATCAGACATTGTCAAAATACCACAATCACGCACTTTTCTTAAATCATCGTTATGATCCTGCCTTTTCAACGGAGGTAACATTTCTCGCACGTCACGATTACAAGTGTGAGAGATAATCAAATTAGCATCGGATAAATGATCGAGACGAACGTGATGGTCTAACGGTATATAGTATGAATGTTCTGTCAATTGAGTAAGCGATTTTTGAGCTTGTGCATAGGGAGTAGTTTTGTACTTTTTAACACTCATATCAGTCTATGATAGATTCCAGGTAAAAGATTGACTTCGGAACGAACTTTCTACTACAAATATAGCATAGTTGCTTACTTTAATTGAATATTGTGAAAGTCGTTTGGTTGTGAGGACTTCATTAGTAGCTGGCACCTGTCCTGAATTTAGAATACTTATTATTTCTGATTGCTGCTTTGACGCTCCGATAAATGATGCAGTATTCCTGCTTGTATCTGAAATTATAGCATTATTTAGGCTTGTTCCATCATCTGTCAGTGGTGCTTTTGACGGTAATGACACTCTTGTTTCTTGTTGGCTTTGCGTTACGGTGTTCTGCGACTGCTTGCTGCTTTTCAATGACTGGAATTGTTTTTCAGGCGGTGTTTTTGTTGGGACATTATTTACATGCGCTACGAGTGATGAATTCTGATTTTTATATGAATCTGTCAATACTGTATGTTCACTCTTCAAAGAACACAGAATATTCGACATATGATGATCGATTTCATCGACAAAATAGTCAGACATTGTAGAGAAGCTTGATATTAATTTTTAAGCTAAAATAGATTCCATAAAAAAATCTGTTTGAACAATTGAACAATTTTAGAACTAAAAACACAAAACTAATTCTTTTTTTGTTTTAAAGAAGCGCCATATAAATGAATGCTATGTACGATGTTCTATAAAATTTTGTGCTTTTAGGATGTACAGGGTGTTCTATAATTACAGTGTAAAAAAAGTTCGACCTAAACTACCACGTTTAATTACTTGTCATGTACTTAGCATGCACTGAAAGTGAATTTATCCACTTTGTATGCACAGTGTATGCACTACGTGCCATTCACTACTAGTGTAGCATGCACTACCTATGCGCTATGTTATTCATAGACAATTTATTTATTATGCACATTTATGCACCGATAAAATCTGGGATTTATTACATCTAAAACATAGACGCTATTCACAGGTTTATGGATACGAAAAATGGGAGTGATGAGTATTCTTATAATACTATCACGAAGAAAGTTGAGCAAGAATGTGTTAAAGCTGAAACTGAGTATTATGAGCGTTTATCATCAAGAAAAAATTCCTCTAAAACATCGTGGTCACTACTAAAATACTCTCTTGGAAACACGAAACATTCTTGTATTCCTCCCGTCGTTGATCTGTCAACTAATTTAATTATTAGGGCACCATTTGATCGTGTTTAATTGATTGCTTAATCGTCACTTTGCTAATATCTGTACAGCTGATGTCAAAACTAATCATCCGCTTCCCTCTTCCCTACTCAATCTTCAGTTGTAATGTCAACTGTTGTGATAAATGTAGCGGAAGTCTATAAACTTCTGTTGCATTTAAATATTACTAGATCGGCTGCTCCGTGAATTTCTGATCGTATGCTGAAAGAAACATCAAAGACAATACAACAAAACTCGTAGAAAAAGACGAAATGATACAACGTGCTGGTGATTATTATTCTGAAATCCTTAACACTCACAATTATGAAGACGGATCTTCATGTGAAACAAAATCAGACAATGACGTAGATGATGATTATGATAAAGTCTCGACTAATATTAAATACTTAATGGACATTTAGAAACAGGATCACAATTACTTACTGTCATCAGTTTCAAATGTATTGACCTGTAGAAACAAAAAAGCAATTATTAAGCTTATTAAATGAAAAATTATTCCTAGACTGAAGATAATCAAGATGATGATTTCTTGATATATAGAAACTGGAGGAGACGATTGTTTTTTTAGTTGTCATTAAATTTTACGTTCCTTTAAATTCTATGAACTCTTTTGTGTTTATCTGTATGAGTATATGACATTTAATTTGGTACACCGTCAATTTGTAATTAATTTTCAGTTTATAGAAAATCGATTTTAAAAATCGTGAACCTTTTTCTGACATTTATGAAATGCTCGTAGATTTTCTGGCTTTTTAGAAATCCGTGATTTTCTATTTTTCAGAAACTTGATTCGATTTTCTATAAATTAACTTTTCATTTTATTCAGAAAATCGGTATAGAATTTCCAAACATATGAAAATTCGGTGTCGATTTTCTACGTAATAGAAATTCAAGTTTGATTTTCTAATATTCTAGAAAATCGATCAATTTTCTGTAAATAATCCAGAAGATCCTTGAAATTCCACATCGAATTTCTAAAATGCAATGAGTCATTTTGTTCAGCGTAACCTTGGTAGTCGTATATGTATGAAGTTTTTAATATCAATTATCGGAATAATACGAAGAAGACCCGTCGAACAATCAATGATGTTCTATTTAAATCAAAAGATTTTAATTTGTCACTTGGTTTTCAACGTTTTCTAGAATCAGTAAGTTTAGATAAGTTAAAATATCTGTTAAGTGAGCACGAGATAAGGTTAGAGTAATATCCAAATAATTATCGCAAAATGAACAGACAATGTTTAACCTTATCGTCTTTGTACCATTCAAAGCACAAAACGCAAAACGGTTTAAATTTCTTAAATGAGTATGTTCATTGCTTTCCCAATTTAAAATAATAGCATTTTCCAAGTAATTAATTGACTGATGTAAGATGAATCTTCTTTTTATTTCTCATCGCTCTTCTTATTTTAACATATACATTTGTATCGTATATGAAAAAAAACAAAATGAAAATGATTATTTTTAATCTTAAAATTGGTAAAATAGTTTTTATTTTGTTGTTTTGCTACTGTTTATCTTTTATTTTTTGTCACATTAATCACATTTTGTACAGTTACAAATTCTATTTATTTTCGATGCGTAAATAAGCAAAGCATCTTTAAAAAGATAAATAATAAATATCAACATTTGAGAGTATTCTTAACTTAGCAATCCGAGTGAAACTTTTTCTTTTGCTATTTAATGTTTCAAGTCTCTGCTTCTCAGAGTACTGAAACATCTAAACACAACATCATATAATTATATAAACGCCTGAAAGATCTTCAGCGATATTTCAAATAACTGGAAATTAAGATGAAGTCGAAAACCTCAAAAAAAAATCAAGTATAAACTCACTAACAGTGGGTCAACGAATCATTTCTGAGATAAACGAAACGAATGACACCAAGAAATTTTTTTCCACTGTCAGATTGATCTGTCTTCTTTCACTCACGAGTTTTTATTAAGTTTTTACTCATTAAGTTGCTTTCCCAAATCAACTTTCTTACCTTTCTCGCGCCATGAGATGTGATAAAAAATAACGCGATCATGAGTATGATCGCAACACAAGAGTCTTATTTTATGATGCTTTGAATTCGTGATTGTCATGCTGTAATCGCGATCCATTTGCCATTCGTGTGTTTCTGTGGAAACTATAGTTCACAAAAAATAAAACTTTCGATGTTCAATAAAACTTAATAGCTTAAACCATAGCTTAAATTAATACGAAGATTATTTAGGAATTCACAATATCTCAGTTGTTGTTTGTGCGTCTTACTTTCATATGGATATTTGTAATTCATTGATTGCATTACTCTATATTGTATTCTGTATCCAGCCTGTATATTGCGAATAGTACGTATCAACTTCGAGATTTTATAAAAATTCATTGCATTTAAACTAATTTTTTCAGACAATCGTCTCACTGTGTGTAAAACTTTGTTTCAAAAATTATATTTCTTGCGAAACCTATACACGCGAAAAGCAACAGAATTAAAAAGGGCAGGGAAAATGTTCTATTAAGAACTAGCTTAGAAAATACTCAACCAGCTGAAATTTTAGCAATAGTATGAAACTTCTCGACTATTATATGTTACTAAGAGTTGTGACTTGAGCATCTAACATTGTGGAAACTTGGTTAATATCTCCCTTTTTAGAGAATTGAACGAGCTATCGAATGATATGGTCCAAAAAATCCTAGAATGATTTTGAAATCCGTCAGGTTTTTTGGAAAAAAATCGAGTGTTGTAGAAGTGCCTATCTCAAGATCCTGAGGTGGTGCCTCAATTTTCATCAAACTTTTGGACAGAACTCGACACAATCTTTCATTTGAGACTAGACTCAGGGTTCTACTAAAACTTGGAGAGAGAGCGGTTGAAAATCGAATTAAATTGTAGAGAAAGTACAAAACTGCACAGCACAGGGTGCTGCTTCTTAAGCACCCTTTCTAAATTAATGTCATGTTCTTTCTTGATCTTGCCAAATATTATGATGTCATCTATGTACACCATGCATGCTTCTTCTAGCGTGTCTCCTAACGCTTCTTCAATCGCCAATCGGAATATTCCTGGCGCATTTTTATATCCCATGGGCATTCTCCTCCATTGGTACAGTCTGCGACGCACCATAAATGCTGTCTTATGCCTGTCTTTTTCTACTATCTCTACATTGTAGAATGCATCCTTGATGTCTATCTTTGAAAAGTATTTTTGGTCTTTCAAGCCATCTAGGATGTCTGATACCCTTGGTAACGAGTATAAATCATCCTTTGCTAGTTTGTTTAAATGTCTCATATCTAGACATAATCTCACAGATCCATCGGGTTTAGCTACTGGTCTTACTGGGTTCAGCCAATCACTCTTCGAACGCTCGATATATTCTAACTTTAGTAATCTTTTTATTTCACCATCTAGTTTCTCATAAGTGTCTATGTCGTACCTGTAGTTTTTCCTGCATACCTTTTGGCCTCTTAATGTTTTTATTTCGCATTCTATGTTAAGCCTTCCGCTAATGTCATTCTCATCAAATGTTTTGTGTCCGGATACAAGCTCTGTAGGGCTAGGAGGGGAAGTATGGAGAGAGTAATTACGTAGTTTAATCTTGCGTATAAAATCCAAACCTAGGATTATACCACTGTCCAAGTTTGACTCGAACACATGGAATATTTCTTTATAATCCTCACCATCTAGGTTGAAATTAATAGCACACCACAAATTAGTTTCGATCTCTTGTCCATTCTCGAATCTAAAAATCTTCTTTTTCCCATTTTGTAGCTGTACTCTCATTTCCCTAGCCAAATTCGCTCTTATTACATTCTCTGTGGCTCCAGAGTCGGCTAATGCCTTATATTTCTATTTCCTATATGTTCTGTGCAGTTTTGTACTTTCTCTATAATTTAATTCAGGGTTCTACGTTAGAGAATGTGGCCTTGACAGCATTTACAAGTTAGATGAAATATGCTTGAAAACAGCTGCTCATTTCTGCTGAGTAATTTGCACATAACTTTTTTGTAAGATTATCTTAAAACTATCCAAACATCAGAAGAATTAAGACAAAAACAAATATTTTTATTTAGAAATTTTCAGTATTCGCTATAAAATCCAAAAACCTGGTATGTCTATATGGTGATAACAATCAAGGTGATTTAGTCAGGAAGATCTTTTATTTTCACTATTATTTTTGATTTTATCATGTCAAGGTTCAAGTGTTTTTCATTTTGGAAGGAAAGAATAAATGCTAGAGAAACATAGCCAAATTTACTTACTTCGGAGACGGTAGATTTACCTCTAACGAGAAACAAATTAGTTCTAGAGTAGCATCGGATTCGACACTTAATAAGAAAAAAAGAAATAAGAAGAATTATGACTTAAAGGCATTTTGCAATGATTTTGATTTCTTTTCGATATAAGGTGAAGCTGAGAATTTCTTAAAGTGTACTCGATTTACAGCCAAAATTGGTTATGTTTCGCTAGCATCTATTCTTTCGTTCCAGAATGAAAAACATTTGAACCTTGACACGATGTAGTACACTGTAATTTGGTATTATTTTCTACTTTATAGAAATCGATCTGGAAAATCGCCAAGGATTTTCCAACTTTTATAAGATCTTCAGCGATTTTCTGACTGTTTAGAAAATGTTGATTTTCTACTTTATAGAAAATCGAGCGGATTTCCTATAAATTAACTTTTCTCATTTATCAGAAAATCGATAAGGAATTTCTAAAAAGTTGGAAAATCGACAGCGATTTTCTATAAAAAATTCCCAACATTGTAGAAAATCGACTCGATTTTCCAGTTTCTAGAAAATCAAAATCGATTTTCTATAAATAAATCCTAGCATTCTTGAAATTCGACAGCGATTTTCTAAATAGTTGGAAAATCGAATTCAATTTTCTAAGAAAAGAAGACGGCTCAGTGATTTTTTTTCTTCCTTCTTTCACATCTATTAAAGCCTATACAGTGCAACAAGTTATCCTGTAACAGATCTCTGCTCGTTCTAGTATTTAACATCGGAAATGTTAGTAGATTCGGAAAGTTCTCTCAGTTTTTGCAAATCAGCATATTCTTCGAGAAGTATTATTGTTGTATGACACTTGGAGATCACAAAGAGGCACTGAAAAGGTTCGTTGGTTAGGTCTGATTAAGACAAAGTCGAATTCAACCGCAACTTTCTGAAGATCGCAAAGCGATTTGTTCTTGCTAATATTCCTCATTTTTATGTCTGAATTTAGCATCTTCCAAAAGTGTAGTTGGTTATATTAACTCAAAGACATGATCCTAACAATTCACATTTATTTTCTTTATTTTTTAAATAAAATAACAGTCGTTCAACACGTGATCGATGTCAAATTTGGTTTTCATTAGTAAAAGATCCATATTGTCACCCAATAAGCTGAAATAATACCTCACATTCAACTTCGAAGTTCAATAGCTTTTAATAGTGGTGAAAAAGTTTATCTTCAGCCATTTTCACGCAAGTCTCTGATTATCAGCATTGTCACTCAAATTGTTCTTCCTCATCACCTAGAAAATAATCCGACGTTTTGATTTTCGAAAAGTCCATATATAAAACCCCTCAGGATTTTGTAGACAGAAATTCACCGAGGATTTTCTATAAATAATTCCCAACAATGTAGAAAATCGATGTCAATTTTCCACATTATTGGAAATCCGATTTTCTATAATCTGAAAAATCCGTGACGATTTCATATACGGGCTCTTTGAAAATTGCCGAGCATTTTCTATAAATAATTCCCGACTTTCCAGTGTATGACGACAAAAATAATAGTGAAAATAAAAGATCTTCCTGCCTAAATCACCCTGATTGTTATCACCATATAGACATACCAGTTTTTTTGATTTTAGAGCAAATACTGACAGCTCCAGATTTTATCAAATAATAATGCATAAACTATTGACACAGAATTAGTCTGTTTCCCCAAGACTCATATCCAAAATCAACAAATGTAAAAAAAAATTAAAGTTTGTTTAGAGTTAAAGAAAAGTGCTTTTTCGTATTCAGCACACTTGATAACCTCGAAAATTTTCTATTTTTAGTAAGGGGTACCGCCAAAAAGTTAAGAAAAATTTTCAGACTAATTGACGCAGAAAAATTCAAGGTTTTCAAGTGTGCTGAATACGAAAAAGCACTTTTCTTTAACTCTAAACAAACTTTAATTTTTTTTTATCGATGATATATTCGTCTTTATTAATATAAATGAACACTGCAAGAAGTGCATTCGGCTGTTTAACTAACTTCAGCAAAGTTAATACTATTCATATCAGTTATTGCACCATATTCTTGTACTTATTGGTTGCCTTATCTACAGAAATCTCTGTAATTCTAGCAATCAACCTGACTGTCAAATCTCATTGTTTCAAAAAAAGTAAAAAATAATAGTGATGAGTTGAATTTTCTGAAGTTGTAAAAGTTAGTGCATTAATGTGTCGCAAGTCATATGTGCAGTTCGGTACCTATATAAAGAAATTCTTTCGACACTTTGTCAATAATTTCCTTTTTTGGAAACACAAATATGCTGTCTCAATAAATATGGGAAATTCAGGACAAATTGACAGTTTTTGGATTTTTTCTAGGTTCTTAACTCTTTTCTTTGTTCAGTTTACACCTGTACATCAAGACCGAAACAGTGTATTGTATGTCATCTTGGTTGTGCAATTATTTATATCCGACTGACAACATAGTATAGTAGAAGTTTTATCTTTCTTTCTCTGTTTCTACCAACGCTGCTCAGACGGCCTTTATTCGAATCTCCTTTCTCCCAAAGTGCTCACATAGAAGAGAAACATAAACTAGAATCTCTAAAGAGTTTATCAAAAATAGTGGTAGCCTTTGTGAGCGAGTTCCTCTGCTACAATTAATGTTTCTATTTCGGGTATCTGCACAATTTCGTCGGTGAGTGTTCTTAATATCACCTGCTGCCACTTACTTTTTAAGCTATGGCACTGGTAAGATATTTTCTTAGTAAACATATTACAGAGAAAGGAAGATTTTACCCTTTTTCATAGCCATAAACGCTCATTGTTCGCCTGAGATCTTCGTTAAAGTTATTTGCAATGAGAACTACCTATGAGTATTGCTCATATTGCAGCCTGCTTCGCCTTTTCGTAATAGCAACGAGGTTTTTCGCTAACTTCTTTATAATTTGAAGAGTTTTATTGTTTTTTATCTAGATTAACTTTTGTTCTGCTCACATACACCGGCGAACATGGACGAAACGGACTTTAAAGCTGAATATGCCAAAAGTGATCGTTCAACGTGTAAACTATGTCGCTCAACAATTGATCGAGATTCTCTTCGTTTGGCGATCATGGTTCAGGTATAAGCAAAAATTAAGATGGAAATGAGCTAATTTTGTTAAGCACATTTCGCAAAAGCAGAATAAACATTGCTTTCTAGAGATAAAGCATTTCGACTTAATCTTATGACTTATTTTTTTCTTTATTTTAGTCGCCAGCATTTGATGGCAGGGTATGTTTGATGACAATCGCAAGACTTCTCAGACATTTCATTACTTGTATTTGTGTTTAGATTCCAACATGGTACCATTATGGTTGTTTCTTCAAGAAAGTGAAACCTAAAGATGTTCATGTTGTCAAAGGTTTTGCTGAATTAAGATGGGAAGATCAACAAAAAATTAAAGATAAAATTCACAACAATTCGTCAAAAAGTGCTAGTAAGAGAACTACAGTTTTTTTTGTAGTTATTCTCGTGAAATTGTAAGCTATTTTTGTAAGTGAGGAATCTTTTTGATGTTTGACAAGCACCATCATCTAGATAGGGGAAGGACATGTGTGTGCAAGGTGAAAAAACACATTTAATACATCAATTTAACTATACTTTTAAAAAAGATTGTTTTAAAAGTCATGAGACAACTAGAAAATACTTTTACGTGACCCCTTCGATAGAGTCCGCAAAACTATATGATAAGCTGAGTTCAATACATTTTTCTCTTCTAGCTGACAGCACCGCATCCCCTGTCGACTTAACTCTAACTGGTTCAGGTAATGAGATTGATTAATTTTATTAAAATACTTCTCGTAAAATATGATAGTGTGCTTAACCGTTCTCTAAAATGTTATTTAGATGTGGTCGGAAATAGTGGTTTATTTTCTGCTGAATATGCAAAATCAAACCGAAGTACATGTCGCGCTTGTAGTGACAAAATTGATAAAGTAAACATGACATTTTCACATCTCTTTTATATCATTGACATTATGTTATATTTTTTTGTTTAGGATGTCCTACGTGTATCAAAGAAAAATTATTCTAGCGAAACGGCATCGCGTTTTGGTCCGGCAGATGACTGGTACCATTTGGATTGTTTTTTTGAACAAAAACAGGAGTTGGAGTTTAACGGTACAGCGGAATCGTAAGTAATTATCTATAACTACTTTTTTATTCGAAAATTGATAACACACTGGCAGATTTTTGACTATTTGCAATTGAAAATAATATTTTTTTCCTTGTCATCTTATTTATTTAATTATATTCCGTCTTTATTGAAGGTTTTCTGGTTTCGCAGATCTGTACAAAGAAGATCAAACATTATTAAAAAAGAAATTTGGTACAACTTCAGGAAGGTAGTTGTCTTTATTTACTGATTTATGAGTTTTCCTTAAATAAAATTCAAATATTTTTATGACTAGTCGAAAACGTAAAGGTGACAAATTATTATCGACGGCCGACGGAACACCCGAAGAAAAAATTGCTCGATCAGAAAATGACGACGAAAAAAATTTACGTGTATGTTGAAAAACAAAAAATGTTTGTTTAATTCAATGTTTTGATTTTTTTGTTGTATTATGTATTGTAGGAACAAAGCGAATTATTATGGTCGTATAAAGATGCTTTACGTAAAGAAGTACCAAATGATATATTGAAAGAAATACTTCGACATAATGAACAGCATGTTGGTGCAGGAGAACAAGTTGTAAGTACTAAACCTATTTAAGAGACGGGATATTTTGTCAATTTTGTTTTATAACTTAAATTGAAACAAAATTGTGATGCAAAATTCAATGAAGATTTTAATAGAGATATATAATGAATTATTATACATCTCTATTAAAACAGCTGCAGAAACTGCCTGTTTGCTCCGACGATCGTCGGGGGAAAACTTATTGATTAAGATAATTTTTTTGAAAAATTGGAACATCTTTTTGTAAATACATTGCAAAAAGAAATTTTGTTCGTGGATTATGTTGGGGAAGTTTTTGAAGAAGGTTTTTCTGTTGAGAAAAATTTTCCAGTCTCACGGATAGATTCTGCATCCCTGATAACAATATGCCTCATTTGAAACAGTTCCAGTTCAAAGTTATTCATATTACTCGTTGTTATTGTCTTTTTCTTGTTTTAGTTAATTGACTCTGTTGCCGATTGTATGGCATTTGGCGCATTGGAACCATGTCCGGAATGTGGTGGTTTACTTGTCTTTAGGTATTGGTCCACATCATTTCTTCTAGAAGTTATTTATTAGTTTGATTTTTTTGATTTTTGTAGCCACCATTGTTACCGTTGTAATGGCGATGTAACAGAGTGGACAAAATGTCAGTTTAGTACAACAACACCAGTACGAAAAACATTTAAATTACCAACTGATATAAAAAAAGAATATGATGCATTGTGAGTTCAAGTTTAATAGAACTGAGAGAGTGTGAATATTAGAGATAAATGGAGATTTATTCGTAAAGAACATAGTTTTTTTATCGTTCATAAGCGAGAAATATCTTATGTTCTAGCAAAAATTATAAATCTGTGAAACGGGATCGTGTATTTCCAAAAATTAAAGAAAAGTCTGTTAGTATTACTAAAACACCAGAAGCATCACGTGGTCTACCATTGCAAGAGTAAGTAGAATGTTGTGATCCATTAGGCAATAGAGTATTTTATCAACTTCTTTTTAGACCGGAATATGACGCGGATCAACCTTTGAAAAATTGTCGTATAGCCTTTGCTGGCCGATTATCGAATTCAGCAGCAACATTACAAAAATTAGTTGAACGAATGGGTGGAAATTATTCGAGTAAAATCGATGATTCAGTTGATGTTGTTATTAGTACATCTGGTAAGTTTGTGCGACAGAAAATTTGTGCGTTGTTGGAAATGAGGAAATATTTGAATTATTAGTTTGTGTACTAGATCACCAAGTCTTCTGATTGCTGTCTGATTTCTTCTATGTTTTAAACAGAACGAATTAATACTGAAGGAGGTAGATATTCTGAAAAAAGGCTTATATATTATATAGAAATTAAAATATGAGTCATAGAAAGAACGTAGCAATAATTTTTCCTTCTAATCTGCATCTGTCTGTTTGTTCTATCCCTCAAAGATGAGCGCACGTACATATATAATTTCAGCTGAACTGAAAACTAGGTTGAATATTGCATTGCGGTTAGTACTTATAAAAAGTTTTACGATTTAATTTTGTCTAAACCAGAACTATTGAAAGCTATATGAATTCAATAGAAATACGAACATATAACAAAAACATTATATGTTGTTAACATTAAGTATCGTGAAATACAGTGTAAATCGAACTGTTGTTCATTTCGCGAAAAAGAAAATTAAGAGAAAAAAGAAGCAGAAGAAGACTGAGATTCATTTTAAAAAATTAATAAGATTAATCCTTTTATGAGTTTTGAGCTGGAAATAGATCTACTGATTTTGAACATTTTGAATTGGAAATCCTGTCTGTGTGATAGGTTCAACTAGTAGAAAAAAAGAATATTGAAGCCTTACTTGGTGTCGGTGATACTACTAGTTAAATTACGTACGAGAGTACCTTATAAACTATTTTCATAGTCTTTAATGAAATCGTATTTTTTCTCAAAGCTCAGTGACACCAAAGGCAAAACAAATAATGATTTTTGCATATGGTTTCTTTTACCTTTTCAGTTTTCGTTTGATTTCTTAGTCAACTGATATTTTTCATTGATTTCTTTAGATGAATTGAAAAAAATGTCGAAAAAATTAGTCGATGCTCAAACACATAATATCCACGTTGTACCTGAACATTATTTTGATGATGTTAAAATTGATCGACCATCGAATGTCATGGAAAAATTAAAAATATCTTCATGGGGTATTTTGCCACATCTTCGACGTCAACAGTTATTAGATGTCGAAAAACAAAAACAGCAACAAAAGCAAGTATCACAATTAGCCAAATCAGACGGTATGAGAACAGTATAGTGAGTAATATTTATTGATAGAGAATAAAAAATGTTCGTTATTGTAGCACAATTCAAAAAATCAATGCCAGATAAAGCGAAAATCAAAATCAAAGGTGGTGCTGCTGTTGATCCAGATTCAGGTAAGAGAATATAACGTTTTGAAACTGTACATAAGTTGCCATCAGGTTTTCTTCGACTGATCTTGTGCGATTTGTAAACAATATCCTAGAAGCAATGTGTGATTTTGTATGTTGCTTATAACTTCGTCCTTTCTTTACCCGTTTAAGATGACTCTTCGTTCAAAAACGTGTTACTGTTTTGAAACTTGTTGTTATTTGCTCTAACAATTCGTTATATTCAAAATTCTTCATAATCGGAAGTGGTTGATTTTTCTTTTATTGGTTTTGCTAAGAATCATCAGTTTCACACTGCAGCTTTGAGATATATAGGAAATTTTTTATAATACAGTCAAAATCAAATGTTTTCAGGTCGGATTTGTCTTATGCAAAATCATTCTTCTTTTACACTAGATCAGAGAAAGTTAGCTATATTTCTTTCCGTGCATCAAAGCGAAAAAGTCAAATTCTTTGTTTTTTTTAATGAAATTTAATAAAATTGCCCTTTTTTCTAGAAAAACACATTTAGAGTAAATTTATAATGTAGGAAATGAAAGACGGCATGCGTACCAGAACATACATTTAGATTAAATTTTGATGCATAAGCAACCTGACAAGATAAATATAGTTCTCATTGTTTTTTGCGTTGAAAAGTAATGGATATTGAATTTTTGCAGTAATTCGATATACAAAAGGTTTTAAACAGGTCTTTAGTAGAGAATTTCAAGACAAATCGTTCTTCAATATTTATAGTAAATAGAACGTACGTTTATGGTAGAATTCCGGTTTTCCTAATGACTAATTATCTATAGTTTCGCTTCAACTTCACCCATGACTTCAAAATTTTGTAGATTATAAGCTTATTATACTGTTTTCTACGGTTGTGACGTTGTTCTGTAGTTCATTTCTCAGTTTGAGTACATGATCGTTTTCCCTTTAAGTTAAGTTTAAACTCTATAAATTTTAATTCTTGCGCTAAGCATTATACCGATAAATACGTTTTGATTTTGATATTGAAATGCTAACCATTTCTTCACTTTTTTTTATTGTGTTTAAGGGCTTGATGAGTCGTGTCATGTCGTTAAAGACGAAGATAGTGGCGAACCAATGACAGCTGTTTTGGGTCTTGTCGATGTTGTACGTGGCACAAATTCATATTATAAAGTACAATTATTAGAAGAAGACAAAGGACGTGGATGGTATCTATTTCGATCATGGTAAGTTTTCATAGCAAATTCTCTACTCGATTTTTGTTTCTGGTATATGTTTTAATTTTTAGGGGTCGTGTTGGCACAACTATCGGAGATTCAAAACTTGAAAAAATGCATTCGAAAGAGCAAGGCATTGAATCATTTGAAGCCATCTATCTGGATAAAACTGGCAATCATTGGTCAGAACGAAAAACATTTCAAAAGGTACCGCGAAAATTCTTTCCATTAGAAATTGATTATGGACAACAAGATAATGAGATGGTACAAAAAGCAATGGAATTAAAATCTGGACAGTCATCAAAGTTAGAAAAATCTGTTCAAGGTATGTTTTGGAGTATTTACTTACATTCAAAACAATCAGTCGTCTTTTCTTCTCTGTTTAGATTTAGTTAGAATGATATTTGATGTAAAATCGATGGAAAAAGCTATGTTAGAATTTGAAATTGATTTAACAAAAATGCCATTGGGAAAATTATCAAAAAATCAAATTGAAAAAGCATACAAAGTTTTAACTGAATTACAAACATTAATTCAAAATAATATAACATCACAAACACAAATATTAGATGCAAGTAATCGATTCTACACATGTAAGTTATACGAGAAAATAGACGATACTGAAAAGCTTATAATTATTTACATATGTACCGAACAGCTTATTAGAGTTAAGTAGTTGACATATGGTTGGTTCTATGTCAATGACTCCTAAACTCTTCAGTGACAATCGAGCCAAATCTTAACAAAATTCTAAGTTGCGGATATCTTATTAAACATTAGACATTTATTCTTCAATATGTGTATCTAATGCCGAATTATCTTATTTTATTTTAGTAATTCCTCATGATTTTGGCATGACTCGTCCACCATTATTGGATAATTTAGATATAATAAAAAACAAAACAGAAATGATTGATAATTTATTGGAAATTGAAGTTGCCTATTCTATGTTAGAATCTTCTGGTTCTAGTGAAGAAGATCCAATTGATACACATTATCGTAAATTAAAATGTGGTATTACACCTGTTGACAAAACATCGAAAGAATTTCAATTAATTGAAGAATATATTCGCAATACTCATGCAGCCACACATCATCATTACGATCTAAAATTAGTTGAACTATTCAAAACGGATCGAGAAGGAGAAATAGAAAAATTTAATTCCTATCAAAAATTAGGTAAGAAAGAAAGTTCAGTTTTAGCAACAATATTTTGTCTGTTTTCTAAACGAATCATGCATGTGTAATTGAATACCACTGTGAAAGTAGAAAGTTGATTATTCTTTCAGTACCTTCCACTAAAGTTAGTTGACTCTGTATTGATCTCTTCTAACTTCTCAATCGTTATATATTAACTTCACTTGCAGTAGTGGTTAAAAGTATGTTGACTGTTCGATTTCTCGAGTAACTGCTAGTGACTTCAATTCTTGTGTAGATAAAGATCTGTTTAACCAACTTAAATCTCTTTCATTGGATACTTTGTGAAATATAAGAATTTCATTTCTTTTTCGTAAAATACTAATAACTGTTGATCCGCTTTATCAGGATGTAGTCACGACTCGCCTTACATCCGTACAAGTTTTGAAGCTACCAGCTATCATGACTGAAAAGATCTAACGAGTGAAGTACCCCAACTGATACATCGCTTTTTCAACGAAACCGAGTGGACTATAGGTAGTCGACGATGCTGATTCCGAATATCACCATGAATGCTGCTGCTAGGCTTTCAAAGATCGGTTTTCTGAAAAACCAGTTTTCGAGAAACTCTAAACAACAGCCAAAAGTTTTCTTAATGAGGCGTAATTGTAGTCCATAAATTTCTGATTAAAACGAGGCATCTCCCAGCTCTACACGACCTTTCTTTGCAAAGTTATAGAGTTTACAAGAAAGCCCTAAATTCATTTTTCGTTTTTCTTTCTGTAGCTCTGAGGTGACAATGAACATTTAGGGCTTTTCTTGTAAACTCTATAACTTTGCAAAGAAAGGTCTTGTAGAGCTGGGAGATGCCTCGTTTTAATCAGAAATTTATGGACTACAATTACGCCTCATTAAGAAAACTTTTGGCTGTTGTTTAGAGTTTCTCGAAAACTGGTTTTTCAGAAAACCGATCTTTGAAAGCCTAGCAGCAGCATTCATGGTGATATTCGGAATCAGCATCGTCGACTACCTATAGTCCACTCGGTTTCGTTGAAAAAGCGATGTACCAGTTGGGGTACTTCCCTCGTAAGTGTCAAACTACTTTTGTCACTGTAGTTTATTCATCCAGCGCTTCATCGTTTACCCCACTCAAGGAGCGTTGAGAGCTTGAAACTATAAATACACGTCGAGAAACAGCTGCACTATTAATCATATTTTCTTTTTTTAATTAGATAATCATAAGTTATTATGGCATGGTTCAAGAACAACAAATTTTGCCGGTATTTTGAGCCAAGGTTTAAGAATTGCACCACCAGAAGCACCTGTGGTAAGTGAATTGTTTTTTAGGTTTATTTAAGTGTGTACCAATGAGAGAAAATCTTACTTTATGCGTCTATGTACCATTCAAGTGACTGAGGAAAGTACGAAGGGACTGTGAACAACACTTAAAGTATGTGCAGCAAAAGAAAAAGCTCATCGTATTCTGTAAATATTTTAGACGAAGTTATTTGTAAACTCAAGTTTTTTAGTTACAAACTGATTTTGTTAGTTATTGACTTTCTGACGCTCCGTCATGTTTGTAATTTCATTCATTTTGCGTTGATTTTCTTTTTTAGACTGGCTATATGTTTGGCAAAGTAAGTAAAAGATGGCTATCAAATGTTAAATTATTTATCTATTCCATTTTATAGGGTGTTTATTTTGCTGATATGGTATCGAAATCAGCCAATTATTGTTTTAAATCGAAAACAGATCCCAACGGTGTACTATTATTGTGTGAAGTCGCCTTGGGTAGTATGTACGAGTGTAATCAGTCAACACAATTATCAGCAGCCACATTGCCAAAAGGAAAGCATAGTTGTAAAGGATGCGGACAAACCGTTCCCGATCCAAAAGGTATGAACCATGTTACTATATTTTGACGAATTTTAATTAAGAAAAGTGAAATAAAATATAAACAGTATGAGCAAAATTCAATTTCAATAAAGTATAAGTTTAATAGTTTAGGTTATGTCTGTTTCACTAGTTCTTACCATTCTTTTTTCTCTGAGAATCAAAAATTCATTTTGTTTCATTATTTAGGCTCGTATTATACAGATGATGGTATTGAAATTCCCATGGGCAAAGGCATTCCATCTACACAAAAGCATTCATCCTTATTGTACAATGAATTTATTGTTTATGATACAGCACAAATAAATATGAAATATTTATTACGTGTCGATTTTATCTTCAAATATTAGATGGTGATGATTCATCCATCTGCTCCCTCGAACGTTTAGACTAGAACAGAAATTGTTATATTGTGATTTTTTTTTCGTTATTTTTACTGTAATCTTCTTATTTTTGTCCGAATTGTGTGCTATCTTTTTCTCTTTTTATCTGTTTTTTTGAATAGTAACCAAGAATGATTTGCTAAATGAGAAACGCCCTTCTATTTTCTGTTGTGTTATATTTTTTTGTGTTATATTCTCTTCGTTTCGTGACATTTACTTCTTATCTCGGTGTTTTCTTCTTTTTATATATTTTCAAAAATTAAGAAAAAAAGTTTGTGTTGTTATTATTTTTGTTGTTGCTATTTTTGTGTTGTGGTTGATGTCTAAACGACCAAAACAAGGTAAAAATAATCGATGTTGTCTATTTTTTGTTACGTTTATTCTTATGAGTATGTCTTTCGTCTTCTTTGATCTACTCTATGTATTACCACATGTATGTGACTTTAAAGCGTTTTCTTATTGGATAAAATAAAAATGACTTTTGATCAGAAGAGGCAGACGGAAAAGGGGCTTCACTTATCTTAATCTTACGTAGTGTCCTGTGCCTCCGAAACAAATGGAAGAAAGTAAGCATTTCACTATGTTTGATAGCAGAGAAAGTTTTTACGTTTAATATATCCCCATCATCGACTTCATCAAAAAACGTATTTCAATTTTTAGTGTGCCGTACTGAACCTACAACGCGATAATTTTTAGCTACTACCCATTTCAAAATAGAGTGGTCGCTGTTATTTTTGAATAAATCGAGCACAAAAGTGATAGAAACATGCGGACATTCACCATCTTGTGATAAAAACCATAGACTATCCATCTGGATATGCGGGCTTAAAAAGTTCGGATTAGTTCTAAGACTGATACCAGTGCTGGTATCATAGTCCTAAGGAACGAAAAATATTAAAATTTTGTGAATTCAGCTTTTGTGAGGTTATTAGCTAGAAAAAACCTAATTTCAAAGATGTTCGACCAACAGGTTGTTAACGGTCCATAATAATGCAATAACGGTCTTAAAACGAACATCATAAAATGTCCATTTTTTGATCATAATAAAAATACCACTTTTAAGCATTAAAACATTTCTAGTTTAAATGCATAAAAATGGTCAGGAAATTGTCGCAATAGTCTAAAAATGTCCAGTTAACAAACACTGAATGGGTTATTAATAGGCGTTTGATAGACAATTAATTACACCGTTGTCGACATCCTGGATGTTTGAGCCCTTTTTAAACTGTCATCGGAAGTAGAGATGGACAAGGATCCTTGGGACCTTCGTTCTCTCAGAGGCTTTCTCCATGATGGAGGTGAAGGTGATCCAGCACTCACCTCTGTTGCACATCTTATCTCAGCTTAATTCGGATTCTCACGCACAAAAATTTTAAAAATCAAACACGAATTGAATGCTGATAAAAATCGAACTGAGATAAGATGTACATATATGAATGTGATTTTATATTTTAGTTAATCTTTATATAATAATAATCTTATCATATTGTGCGGAAATATGTTTTACAAAACATTAGACTTACGTTAAAAACCTTAAGAAAAGGTTAACGTAGATCGAGGTGAACTTTAAATTTTATTTTAAAACTCAAGTTTGGTATCTAAACTAATTTTAGTTTAGATTTTTGATGTTGTACAAATGATTCATAATGCAATCATTCGTTGTTTTTTTTTTGTATATTCATATAGTTTTTCTCTTGTCATAGTAGTTTAGTATGCCAATGTATTTTGTTTTTACGAAAAATTCTTCAATAAGAGTACAATAGTCTAGATATTCCGGTTTTTGTTGGGAATGTGTCCTCTTATATTTTTAATCTATATTTTAATCTCTATTGATTTTTTTAGATTATTCTTTTATTGTAAACGATGTCAAAGCGATCACTAGCGCAGCAAACACAAGATAATGATAATGAAATGTAAGTTTTTTTGATAATTCATTTAAAGAACTTTTGATAATGGACAGAATGCTTTTTTTACTGGAAAAGCATTGTTTATCTCCATATGTTTGTCAGCATGACATACTTCTCACGTTTTAGAAGACGACATTCGCTCGAACTCTTCCGGTTTTTTTATTAATTATCATGACCACTTCTAAAATGTAATCAACGTTAATCTCAAATATAGTTTCATGCATCAGTAGATCAACGACAGTTATTATATATATTATTCTTACTTTTTTTAGTCCTGCAAAACAATCGAGAATCGCTGCTGTTGTTTTAGTTGCTTCACATATTACTAGCTATGAATGTTTGCCGAATGAATTGAATCTGGAAATATTTGAATATCTATCACTGTTTAATATTCTTCATTCATTCACAAATTTAAATCAACGTTATTCATCTCTCGTGTATTCTTATCAACAACACATCGATCTGACCTCACCGATATCATGTGAACAATTTAATAATTTCTTGCAGAAAATACTCCCAGCTATTGACGCATATCAAATTCAAACTGTCAAACTATCAAATCGTTATACATACAAGCAAATTCAATTATTTACGTCATTATTTAAAATTCGACAATTCCAAGAACTGAAAACAATACATCTCATCGAGCCGACATTGAATGATCTACAAGAAATTTTACCAAATGTTGGAATATCAGTGAGAAATTTAATATTAGAAATACATCAACAACAACAGTTTGATTTTGTCTACGATAATTTACCTTTAACAATTGCAAAATTAATTATAGAAACAAACCAACAATATTTTAGGTATAAAATAGCTTAGTCGGAAGTTCTGTTTTATTCTCGCCTAATGAAGCATATGCCTTGTGACGTCCTGATTTTCTCCTCCTTTCCCGTTCTTCCGGTTATCATCCTTTTTCAAACAAAGAGAATTTATCCTACTATCCATTTCAAAATATAAAGATCACGGATGTTTTTTGATATAACTTTTGACGGAAAAACACTAGAGACCTATGGTTTTCAGATTAATGAAAGAGAACACCTGTGGACATAGTTCTATACTAAATTGAATCAAATCCGACAGCTCTACCATGGCGTATCTTCCAAAACAAAATATCCGAGCCGGTCGTTCGAAAAATTTGCATAGCAAAGTGCTGCTCTGAACACATGTGGATATGCAACACATGCCGCTAGGTTCCAACTATCGTGATTTGAACACTACAGACCATCTCTGGAGATCTATCTATCCGCTAAACCTAAACCCTGGAAACCTTAAAAGTGCATGGTGCACAGGTTTTCGATCACGTTAAATCTCGCAGCAATGTTTGTTTTGTTGTCTGAATTAAAGAAACTTGAGAAGACGAGTTTTTCAGAGAATTCGATTTTTCCGCTGTGACCATACCAAAATAAAAACCTTGTCACCTTCATTTCTCAACCAAAGTGCTTCAAATTTTCAAAACCCACTCAGTTCCCCTGCTGTACAATTTAGGAAAGTTAAAATTATTTCTTATACTGACATTTTACCTGATGATCCTTGGAGGTTTTCTAAAAAACCTGTCGAAGATACGCTTTGCTTTTTGTAGTTCTGATCGTGAGATCGAATAGAACACCTTCTCTTTCGCTTACTCATCAAGTTCCATGCAATTTGATTGAGAAATGAAGGCGCTAGACGCTTTTCATTTTAGCGGAAAAATCGAATTCTCTGAAAAATTCGTCTTCTCAAGTTTCTTTAATTCAGACAACAAAACAAACATTGCTGCGAGATTTAACGTGATCGAAAACCTGTGCACCATGCACTTTTAAGGTTTCCAGGGTTTAGGTTTAGCGGATAGATAGATCTCCAGAGATGGTCTGTAGTGTTCAAATCACGATAGTTGGAACCTAGCGGCATGTGTTGCATATCCACATGTGTTCAGAGCAGCACTTTGCTATGCAAATTTTTCGAACGACCGGCTCGGATATTTTGTTTTGGAAGATACGCCATGGTAGAGCTGTCGGATTTGATTCAATTTAGTATAGAACTATGTCCACAGGTGTTCTCTTTCATTAATCTGAAAACCATAGGTCTCTAGTGTTTTTCCGTCAAAAGTTATATCAAAAAACATCCGTGATCTTTATATTTTGAAATGGATAGTAGTTAAACGCTATTTTTCTGTTAGCATCAGTTTGATTTGCTCAGTTAATTTTCTAAATGATATTTCCATCAATTGTTTATTATCCTGTGACTTTTCATTTCTTTTTCAGTTTGAAATGTCTACCGGCCTTTGTGATGCCAAAATTAACCTGTCTCACTTCGTTACAATTGTATCTGTGTGATGGGAATGATTTTTTTTTACTATTAAAACAAATACCAAATATTTGTTATTTGAACTTATCGATCATGTATTTATATGAAACATTCCATTCAAAACATGATTTAAATACACTCGATGTATATTTGCCCTATTTGGAAGAATTTTATTTAGAAATTCAAGGTGGATGTAATACAATTACATTTTCAAAATTGTACGAACTATTAGACAGAGAATATTGTTGTCCAAAACTAGAGAAATTTCATTTTCATTGTCAATATATCACTTATATTGAAGAATATTTATTTCGACAATTTTTTGAAATATTAAAACCACAAACATTCTATGTTCAATGGGAAAAAAGATATAAAGAAGACCTACAACCGGGTATGAAATTGAATATCTAATATTTAACATTAGTCTAATAATAAGATTTTGTTTAAAATAAGCTCATATATTTTAGCGAGCTCTAATATTTGAATGTTTCGTTGATATTTTGAGTTGTACAATCTTCTAGGTGACAATGAATTATCATTATTTAATGATCCATTTTGGCATGAGAAAAATTTTCATTTAAATTATTACTATACGAATGTTGGCAATTTAGAATGTATTCGATTGTATACATTATCAACGAAAAAGTTTAATATTATTTCATCTTCTCAATGTCATCGAAACATTCCAACATTATCCTATAATACAACATGTAATGAGTTAATATTGTTTAATGAATTAGGTAAGCAGATTGAAACAATTCAGAAAACTATATTATCATATTCTTCTATCGTGTGAGAATACTCTAATACAAATAACGTTTTGGATAAAAACACTGTTTTTCATTCATTTCTAGGTAATAATATTCACAATTATAGTGTTCTACCATATCGATATAATAGTTTATTATTACAATCATCATCTCCCACTTTTGTTGATAAAACTATGTTGTCATACTCAAGTGTAAAGTATTTAAAATGGAACGACAATGCACATATTGAAGAATCATGCAATTATTTTTTGCATATAATCGAACGTTGTCTATCACTAACAAAATTAACAATTCGCTATAGAAATTTGAGACAATTGCTAACATTTCAGCTTAGAAATATAACAGATTTAATTTTGTTAGATGTTGATCGTATACCTGTTCAAGATCTAGAATATCTCTCAACATTATTTCCAAATTTATTACATTTAACGTTACGAACAACAAGTTTAAAGTCAGTTATTGGTAAGAAACGTTTATCTACACAAATAGTTACTTTCTATTCTGCTAAAATGTAATATTACAAAAATAAATTATAGACGCGAAGGTAAAAATGATGAAATTATCGAGAGATGTGTATTTTTTGCATAGTATATTCTAATTGCCTAGGATGTGGATATTTATGTATGAATATTTTTCTCCATTGGATTATAGCGATCATCAAAATCAAAGAATCGATGTTGACATTTTTTATCTTTTAGAAAAATTTTCAAAATTGATTTCGTTATCGATTAGTGGTTTCCGCGATATTCAAAAGTCAAATTTGAAAAAATGGCTCAAAGACGAACAAGGAAAAACATGTTTTGTTGTGCAAAATTACAAGACTAATAATCATAAAGTTGACATTTGGTTATAAAACTTAAACAATTTCGTAATTATGAAATTTATTGTTTGAGAGAGATTTTTGCTTGAATTTAAGATAAGCTCTTAAACTATAGCGTTTGTTCGACTGAAATGATGTCTGATGTGTTATCGTTTTCTTTTTCATGGTACGTATATTTTTCAGAGAATATATTCCACTACATTTTTTGGTCAATATACAATAATGTCCGATATTTTTTCCTGTTTGTGTTTAATACACTTTTGTTTTTCTCTACATTTTCGTGACTTTTTTGTAAGCATTACTACGCTAATTTTTTCCCTGTTGTGTGTTGTATTATAAATTTTTAGTTCAAAAAAAAATTTGTTTGTGTTCTCATCTAATGATCAATCAGTTGTTGTTCGTAATGACAATAAGTAAAAAATGAAATTCGTTTTTCTACTTTAAATGAAATGGATTAAAAGATATTTTGTAGAGTTAAAGGTGTGCATTGTTTCATATTCTCAAGAAGAGTTCTAAAAAAACGCCATTACATTGTTCCTCAATGCCTTTTTCTGACGTTTCGGCTTTTATAAACAGTCACTAATAGGTATGTCAGAGCAAATACGCTACTAGATATATGGATAAATTCTCTATTTTTTTATCACTAGAAAAAACAACTCTACTATGCGTTTCAAAATACAATGCCCAAGAAAGTATTTACTATAGTGCAAACCCGTATACTGTAGTTGAAAAATCGTTTTCTTCGGTTTTTCCTTTGAATAACAAAATCTTACACATGTGGTAGAAGAAGAACATCTTCAAAAAAAAAAGAAATTCTCTCTAGGGTTTTCCCCCATAGCCCAAAGTCAACTCCAAAAGAGCCACTAACACACGCCATACATTTTTTATGATCAAATAAAAGAACTCGGAGATTGATACGCTCTTCTCTTTTTTTCTTATCTTCTTCTATATCATCTACACTTTCATTTTTATCCACGTGTGCATTAACAACATCAAGTTTAGTAAATATTACACAAGTAGTCGAAAATATCATAAAAACAGTAAAATCGATAAATTCCTAAAACATCATACATAACATAAAAATTTCTCGCTCTGGGAAAATTTAAGCCTAAGTTATATGGTGGAAAAATAGAAACATGGAAACATATAAATGGAGAATTTTTCTTGTGCTTATTTTAAGTAGGTGCCAAACACAAAATATTCCAAATAATGCTGTTATTTATCCGAAACGACAAGATATTTATAATTTTACACTTACTATTGGACATGCACTTAGTATGGGCATCTGGAATGACGAAAGAAAAACTTATGATCCAGTGTTATACGATCCAAACACAAAAAAATATAGAGCTCGTAAGTATAGCTTGACAGATCGTTTTGACGCTTTTCTTGAAGTAACCAATCAATCTGATTTTAATACAATTATTACTGCAGCTGGTCTGCATCGTAATATGTTATTAATAAATAAAAGATTTCCTGGAACACCGATTGTTGTACCTTTAAATGCAAAAGTTGAAGTGGTTGTTACTAATGAGATGATAATTGATGTTTTGAGTTTACATTAGCATGGACAAACTCAAATGAACACATTTTATATGGATGGCGTAACGCGTATTACCCAATGTCCAATAGAACCAGGCGAAACATTTACATACAAATTTGTAGCATCGAATAAAGATACTCATTGGTATCATGCACATTCAGGTGTGCAAAGAACAGAAGGATTATATGGAGCTTTTATTGTTACTGAATCTTATGCTGCTGCTGATAAAAATAATAGTGATAACAAATCTGATTCAAATGATGCAAACCGAGACGTAAAAGACGGTTATGAACAAGAATTTTATTTCATAGTTCAAGAGTGGCTTCAACAAGATTCATTAAGTGTTTTTAACTATGTTAACTGGGAAAATACAAAATTTTTCAATAGCTTCACAGAGACAACAAATTGTTTTGCACCTAATCGAATGGATGATGGAACACCTGTTGCACCAGTACCATATAATTTAAAGAAAAAGATGGATGCGATTTTGATAAATGGTAAAGGTTGGTATAATTTGCCTGTAGCACTTCAGTATGTCGACTCATGGGGTTCCAATGCATTCAATCTTCCATTAGAAGTATTCACTGTTAAACCTAATAAAAAATATTTGTTTCGTGTGATTGGTGCAAATGCAGGGCATGCACTTGAAATAACTATTGGTGGACATAAAATGACTATTGTTGCATCGGATGGTAATCCAATTGATCCGATAGACGAAATTGATAGTCTGATAATTAATAGTGGCGAAAGATATGATTTTGAAATACAAACAAAGTCTGAATCGGATAATAAAAATTACTTCATAGTAGTAAAAACTTTAGAAACACTGGATTGGAATTTTCAAAAGTTACCAACGTAAAATTATGGACTTGGAATCTTAAAATATGAGAAAGTGAATGACAGAAATATTTTTTGCTCAAGTGCATGTGAATCATGTACTTCAGGTAAAAAATGCCGAAAAGTAAATTGTCCATTTTGGCCAAGCCAAAATGATGGTCCGTTTGATTGCATTAGTCCTGGATTATATAAATCTTTATCTTCTTCAATTCCAGAATCTGACCGTATTGATATGTTTAAAAATCAATACAAAAAAGAAGAATTTGAAGAGCATTTTTTAAATTTTCATTTCTCAGGTTCTACATCACAAAGGGCATCAATTAATGGAAGACAGTTTATTTTACCTTCTTATCCTCCTTTTTTTGAAAAAGACTTTGATAAAGCTATCGTACCATGCCGTAATTCATGTATTGAGGAAAGTACATGTGATTGTACGAATAAATTAAAAATTGGTACAAATAAAATTATTCAATTAATTATTTACAATATGGGTAAAGGTGCCGGAATAGATGGTACAGCTCATCCAGTTCATTTTCATGGACACCATTTTTATGTTGTTGCTATGGGATATCCTACATATAATTATACGAACCATAGATATAAAAGTAGTAACACAGATATCAATTGTAAAAATGAAACAAATTCATTTTGTAATTATGCCGGTTGGTCTAATAAATATTGGAGTTTAGGTAATATAGCTTCAATACCTATTGCAAATTTAGTAAATCCACCTATAAAAGATACAATATTTGTGCCTGTTGGTGGATTTATAGTTGCAAGATTTCGTTCTAACAATATAGGACTATGGTTTCTACATTGTCATATTGAAGTGCATCAAGCTGAAGGAATGGCTCTTTTCATTCAAGAAGGTTCCGATGACGAAATACGTTCGCTCGTCAAGTTTGATGAAATAAATTTATGTCACAAGGGCCCAAATATACCAGATAAATCAGCTTCATTGAACAGAGCAAGTCAAATAAATGATTTCAAACCAATTTTAATTTTGTTGACCCTGTTATGTATTATTCAGCACTTTAGTGTTTAACTTTTTTAACTATAGCAAATCCCGATATTTCTGAAAAGTGCTGCTCTAAAAGCATATGGATATGCAACATATGTCGCTCTACAATCTGGCGCACGTTTCAACTCTCCAACTACCGTGGTTCAAGCACTACAGCCAATCTCTGAGGATTTACCTATCGGCTAAACCTGAACCCTGCCCTAGCGAACGTACTTGATGCAAGTACTTGGAAAAATTGGCAAGTGTTTTCAAAATTTGTCACTTGTCATATACTTTCAGAAGTACTTCTCAATGATAAAAATACTTGCTTTTATCGCTAAGAAGTACTTTGTGAAAGTTCTTGGCAAGTAAGGGTTTTTTGTCACACTAAACCGAAAAAAGTGTATTTGGTTTAAGCTTTAATCTTGAACCAGAACGAAATCGAGAATATAAATTCCCATTATATCATTCTGAAACTTAAACTATCTAAACACAAAATCAGTCCTTGCACGAAGCTAGGATCGAACACACGAACTTGATCTTTGCAGACGAACAAAGATCATCTTCGTGTGTATTGTAAAAGCGTATTTGAAAACCAAAAGGGTTTTTCTGTTTGACCAAAAAACTAAAAAGTGATTTTTAGTAAGAGCCAAAGGGTTTTCTAGCTTTCCTAAAAAACAGAAGGTTTTTTTTCTAAACGCATTTGATTTAGGGAAACATCGTTCTGGGTTTTTCAAGTAGCAAAGGATTTTCCAGTTTGAGAAAAATCAAAAGGGTTTTCTAAAAAGAGTTAATCGAACACTTTATATTTCGAAATCCAACAAACAATTTATCTTAATGTCGGTGAACTCTTATGTAGCGATTTCTGTATAAAGAAAGAATGAAAAAGAAAATGTTTTAATACGAGATCTCTCAAAATAAAGTGTTTCTTAACGTAACTGACGTACTGATTTCACCATGTTTTATCCGGTTTTCTCTTCGGGAACATAATGCTTTAATTCTGCTTTAGAAAAGTTAAAAAGCAGATATAAACTAAAAATAGGGTTAAAATCAGCAGTTGCTTGGATAAGACAGGTTAGAACCGCTCGCCACTATCTGTTTACATAACTACTATACCTGTGCTTACGAGGGAACCGCCCCAGGTGCCCCGCTCCAATTTCCTTCATTCATACCTCGTTTTATAGAGCACATCGAACTGGTAAAAAGCCTAAAAGGATATCGGCTGACGACTCTTTAAGATCCGGTTTTCTGGAAAACCAGTTTTTCAGAAGCTCTAACAGAATAACCAAAACCTTTGTTAATGAGACATGATTGTAGCCCACGAAATTCTCATAAAAATGAGACATCTCCCAGCTCTACATGACCTTTCTTTGCAAAGTTATAGAATTTACAAGAAAAGCCCTAAATTAATTTCTTCTGATTTCTGCAGCTTTGAGTTGACACTGAACATTCAGGGCTTTTCTTGTAAATTCTATAACTTTGCAAAGAAAGGTCATGTAGAGCTGGGAGATGTCTCATTTTTATGAGAATTTCGCGGGCTACAATCATGTCTCATTAACAAAGGTTTTGGTTATTCTGTTACAGTTTCTGAAAAACTGGTTTTCCAGAAAACCGGATCTTAAAGAGTCGTCAGCCGATATCCTTTTAGGCTTTTCACCAGTTCGATATGCTCTATAAAACGAGGTATGAATGAAGGAAATCGGAGCGGAGCACCTGGGGCGGTTCCCTCGTTAGGAAAACGTGTTTTTGTGGACTTCAGACACAGAATAATATAAGTTCACAAAGTGAATACTACTACCCGTACTAGATATACAGATAAAGTCTCTACTTTTTATCGCTTAAAAAGCAAAGGAGGGGTCCGCATAATCCTGATAATCGGTCCACTTTATTTTTGTCTAAAAATGATTCTGTAAGTAGTAGAAAAGTATTATCAGTCGGTGTTGAACCGTTTCGCATACTTTTGGTAACTAAAAATCCGAGTAATTCTTTGTCAATAAGGCGCCAATAGCTCATCCCTCAAAGATCAGCTATAGGTTGCGTAAAAGATATTTTTCTCATGTTTCTTTCATGTAGGCGACAAAGTAAATATATTACTGGATAGCCTTTTAAAATTCTCTAAAGCCCCGTCCACATTAGAAGCCCAGTGGGCTTCTACTATATCCCGCAAGAAAGGCAAAATTTTCTCAAAAAGTACCCTATGAGGGCAGGGGTAATTTTCAAAAAATTTCTTGGCAGACTGGGCTTCTAATGTGAGGGGGGTTTACAGAATGTGTGTGATATAACAGTTAACAACAGTGCTTTGATAGCAGCAGAGCGCTTAGAATAATCCTACGTATACAATATAGTAGATAGTCCTCGCTGTTGTAGCCCTTTTTTCTCCGAAACAAGAAAACATACATTTTTCTATTATATATCATTTTGGAGCTCATGAAATTTGCTACAAACTGGCAAGTTTAAAACTTCAAGATCGGTGGGATCGGTCCTAGAAAATGGGCCAGAAGTAAACTGACTAAGGAAAAATGCTTCCAGTTTTTACTATTTCTTACACTAGTAAAGAAATAAGTACACTTTGTGTCTTATACCATTTAAAAGCTCGTCGAATTTCCTACAAAGTAAGCTACGTATGATATCTTGATCAGTAGGCTCTGCCTCTGTAGTTTTCGGTGTGGTATCAGTTTCTCTGAGATTTGAATAATAGACCGTCAATTTTAGAAAGTACTCAATCAGGTCCTAAAATGTATTAGTACAATTTTTTAATTAGTAGGATTTTTTCAATTAGTAGGATTTTGATTTCGAAACTAGAAAAAAATTTAAGAAATTAATAACGAAAATAATCGCTATGTAAAATAACGCCAGGAGTATCCTCTTCACAATGCTAACTCTGTGCTCAAGATTATTATTAAAGCTTTGCTTAATTTCCATTCTACAGAGTCTTTTGAGAAGCCAGCACTTTACATTTATTCTTAAAATTTTATTGACTTTCACAGACAGCGCAAATAAAATAGGGTGCGTGCTAATGTTCTGAAGTCGTTCGGACCCAGGTCAAACAATCCTACCGTAGGATCCTATAAGATTCTACCTTAGGATCCTATAGGATTCTGTAAGATCCTACGAAAAAGAATCCTACTGTACGACTCTTATAGGATCCTGTAGTTAGATCTTGTAGAATCTCGCAAGATCCTATTCTAGGATTGCAGTAGAATATTATCTGGTTTTCTGCTGGTTTATCCTACTAGGTTTAGTGGTTTTATTTGTTTAATTATTCTCTGATACTAGCTAGAC